GTAGGGAAACTACTGAGTAAGTGGCAAAATGCAGTTTTCTTTCAGGCACGTGATAACTTTTCAGAAAACAAAATCTTTGAGCTTCAGAGTAGAAGGGTGTAGAAGCTCTGAGGTAAAAGTGAAAAAACCACTCTGAGACTCTTTTATGTTATTATAAACTGTATGGAAAAAAAGATGAATAATAACTTAAACATGTTAGTATTTCCAGTTTTAACTAAACTTCTCTTAAAAATGATCATTTGAAAACTGACTGGTTTAGTAAACAGTATTTTCTCCATGTTATTATTTCCAGCTTTATATAAACTGCATTTAAAAATTATCATTATAATACTGACTGATTTAGCAAACAGCATTTTCTCAAGAATTGGGGTTTTTTTTCATGGTTTTTTTTTGCATCCCCGTATTTGCTGAAAAGGGTTAAGCAGACAGCTGGATGAATTTGCCATCCAAACCTTGCAGCACCCTTAATGTGAAGGGCGTGGATGCAAAAACAAGTGCCGGACAGTGAAGTTAATCAGTACCTTAGAGGCGTTTCCGAGTGTTTGAGAGTTTGCCAGTGACTCCCTGAGTCGGCTTGGTTATCTAGCAAGAGTTCGTTGATTAGAAACCCAGTTTTCTGGGTTCAAGGGAGTGCGAGATAACAGTTGCACACCTCTCACATGTGGTCACCTGTGCAAGAAGACAGTGGGAACTCTGAATTTGGGTAAGAAGTTGCATAGCTGCGGGATGCCGGGGGAGGAATCATAGAATCATGGAATGGTTTGGGTTGGAAGGTACCTCAAAGATCATCCAGTTCCAACCTCCCTGCCATGGGCAGGGACCCCCCCCCTGCCGTGGGCGGGCCCCCCCTCCACTACACCAGGTTGCCCAAAGCCTCATCCAACCTGGCCTTGAACACTTCCAGGGATGGGGCAGCCACGGCTTCTCTGGGCAACCTATTCCAGTGCCTCACCACCCTCACAGTGAAAAATCTCTTCCTTAGATCTAATCTAAATCTCCCTTGTTTTAGTTTAAAGCCATTGCCCCTTGTCCTGTCACTACACGCCCTTGTCAAAAGTCCCTCTCCAGCTTTCCTGTAGGCCCCTTTAGGTACTGGAAGGCTGCTATAAGATCACTCCGGAGCCTTCTCTTCTCCAGGCTGAACAGCCCCAACTCTTTCAGCCTGTCTCCATAGCAGAGGTGCTGCAGCCCTCGGATCACCTTTGTGGCCTCCTCTGGACCCACTCCAGTAGCTCCATGTCCTTCTTGTGTTGGGGATTCCAGAGCTGAACGCACTATTACAGGTGGGGTCTCATGAGAGCAGAGCAGAGGGGCAGAATCACCTCCCTTGACCTGCTGCCCACGCTCCTTTTGATGCAGCCCAGGACACGGTTGGCTTTCTGGGCTACCAGTGCGCATTGCCGGCTCACGTTGAGCTTCTCACCCACCAGCACTCCCAAGTCCTTTTCTTCAGGGCTGCTCTCGATCCATTCTCCGCCCAGCCTGTACTTGTGCTTGGGATTGCCCTGACCCACGTGCAGGACCTTGCACTTGGCCTTGTTGACCTTCATGAGGTTCGCACAGGCCCACCTCTCCAGCCTCTCAAGGTCCCTCTGGATGGAATGGACAACCCCAAGAGAAAGGGGCTGTGCTAGATGGCTGCAGTGGGAAGGAGGGGCTTTGTGCCTTTTTGTGGTGACTCTCTTCAGCAGCAGGATAATAGAAGGGCTTGTTCAAGGTAAAATTTTGCTAGGGTCAAGGGACTGTGAGATAAGAGTCACATGTGGATGTTCACAGAAGCAGATAGTGGGAACTCTGAACTTGGATAAGGAGCTGTGATCTGTCACAGGCTGTAGTGGGAAGGGGGGATGTTGTGTCAGCACAACCACTGCCTGTGGCTCTGTGCCCTGCAGGCACGAGGTGGGTGATCACAGCGGAGCACAGTGAGAGCCAGCACGGGCAGCGAGTGAGGTGCCAGCTGGGTCACTCTGGGCCTGGTGGCAGCATTAGGAAGGCAGCTGCAAACACCTGCTTGTTTCCAAGAGGGAGCTGGTCTTCTCTGAGCACTGGCCAGACTCATCTGTATCTGAAATCCCAGATAGCCTAAAAACTGCTCTACTGTGGGAAGGACTAAACCAGGCTTAATGTAATGCTGTTTTATGCAAAGAGCTTAGGAGATGCCTGAAGAACTACGGGTGGGCTGAATGGAGGGCTGTCAGCTACCTTGGGATTTCCAAAAGGTGTTCAATAAGGTTTGCTGCTGAAGGCTCTTAAAGAAATTCAGCGTGGGATTTTCTTTTACCTCAATGCAACTTGTGTGTTGCCCCTTACTACACACACCACCCCCTGCTATCACGGAGGCGGCAGGCCCTGATTAGCTAGAAGATAGGAAATAGAAAATCAGCTGTCACAGAGGGGAGTCAGAGGGAGTTTCTTTGCTTCTTTGCTAGAACCTGTATTCAGCATATCATAAACTATCAGGAAAAACAAAAACAGTGAATGCTGAGTAGATTAATTTTTCTTGTGAAATCAACTGATATGCTGCAGTAAAGACAAGTGCCGTCTGTGGAGCTTTAAAGTCTTCGTGCCCATGGGTGGTTGAGTGATACAGTAACAGGTAATTAATATTAGAAAATATTAACCATAGGTGAGGGCAAAGAGATGCAGCCCGAGACCTGGATGGCTGCATGTTTCCATGGGAGCTCTGTCTGGCTGCCACATCCATTCTGCCACATGCAGGGGACTCAGCCTTCTGCTAGGTGGGTACCGTAGCTGAGCTCCTTCTGAGAGAGTGAAGGCCACCAGTTAAACTCACCTCTTGAGCTGGCAGGGTGGCTGCACCCTTCCTGTGCAAACTGCCGTGCCACGCTTTGTTGGCACCACTCCTGGTCGCTTGCACTCCCCAGGCTGCTTTTTGCAGGAATAGGGGTGGCTGCTGTTGCTCTGATAACACTCAGGCCATGCCAGCGTCTCCCATGAGAGCTGCCGGCTCCCGGGGGGGGCTTTTTTCTCCCCTGGCGGTGGTGTTTCCCTGCCTTAGGAAAAGGCCCTGTGCACCAAGATCTGCCTCTCTGTTGTGGATCGGGCCAGCTCTGGAGCAGCACCCCTCCGCGACAGAAGTTGGGCCGGCTCTGGAGCAGCACCCCTCTGCGACAGAAGTAACGACTTACGTCATGGAACCGCAAAGAATTTGCCTCTTAAGTCTCAAACTACATAAGTGCCACTGTCTTGATTCTCACATGAGAGAATGCCTTATTTATAATATTCTTCTAATATTCTAATTTATAATATCACTCTGTATTTGCCTTATTCTTTATTAAGTTCAGTGGACTCTGCTTTACCCTGTCAAACAGTATAAATGAAATCCGAAAGAAGAAAGAAAAATAACTTCCAGCTCAAAGATATTGTACTGCAATTGTGCAGTGAGATTGTGGTACCACAATTCAGAAGTGAGGGACTTAATTTCATCAGCTCAAAGATACTGTACCGCAACTGCGCAGTGAGATTGTGTGACCAAAATTGAGAAGTGAGGGTCTTAATTTCAGAGGAAAGAGATTTGTGTCCTGCTTTGTGCCTGGAAAGAAATGTCTAGTGCTATTAGTTGTTATAGAGACCACACGGTAACTATCAAAATAGATCTAAATTTGTAGATTAGCTGTAAAACCCTGCATAACAATTCTCATAAATGCAAACGTCAAGAATTAGGTATGAAAACTTGGTAAAAAATTTCAATAGCACTAAACTCCAGGAACAACATGATCACATTTCATTGGAAAATGGATAATTTGAAGGCAAAAGAACATACCTTAGGCAGTGGTTTCTTCAGAGCACAGTTTATACCTCCTACAAAGACCATATTGGGCATCACTGGTCTGGCATACTCAAACACAAAGTCGAATCTCAGAAGCCAAATAGAAGCAGAGTTCAGAAGGTCTATCAGGGTTACATCTCTCTGAAGAACTTCAGAAGAAAGCTTTAATGCATCTGCGTAGTAACCATTGCAGTACTCAAGCTCCAAGAGTGAAATCAGTGCATTTTCCACTCTCTGGAAAAATGTCATGCGGTCTGAGTTGAAGGAGAATACTCTTGGGATGTAGGACAGAGGGTTTGGGCACTGTGGTGCTTCATAGTGTAAGCTGCAAGGAAGCCCTCTCATGAAGAACAAAAATGGAAGAGAAAAGTAATTCGCAACTATTGCTCCACACATGAAAATAGGGTCTGTTAGGACGGCATCAAAGTGGCTTTGATTCAAGTACTGCAGGGTCTCCTTGTGATCGAACAGGTCCTTGCACTGACCAAAGAACTTACTGAAAACGTTCACGGAGCTGCTGTATATTGCTTGAACGTTCAGAGGGAAAGGCAGGTTCTTCATGTTAGCAGCAACGAACTCTTCAAATGAGTTATCCAGCTCTTCTAATGTGCCGGTCACTGGGTATGTTTTCACTGTGTATAGTGCCTGTCTTGTTCTTATCTCCCATGTTACTTCTGGTAGAAGCACCACCACTTCGTGTCCTCTCTCGGCGAGCTTTGCAACCACTTCTTGCATGCTAAGCCAGTGGCTTCCAACCATGGGCACCACCAGGAGTTTCCCTCCATCTGAGAGGCCAGGAAGGAGAAGGATAAAAATACAGGCACAGGCACAGCAAAGCCTTGAAGTCATGTTCGCGTGGTCAGAAATGTGAAATCAGTCAGGACTTTGAAAGTCTTCTTCAGACAGTAGCTTAGAAGATACTTCTGAAGGAAGCTGATCGGTTTATATGTTGAGCTGTCCTGCTTTGTCTTAATCTTCTGGTTAATTATTCACTGCTCTGGGTTGTGCGTTGGGCTTGGTGTTTTTTTCGTTATTTGTAAAGCTAGATTACTTGTAAACCCTTTCTTGTGCTGAGTCATTGTGAGTTCCTCAGTGTTCAATGGAGAACCAGCGCCTCAACATGCTGGTCAGATTTCTTAGGATTTCTCTCTTGATCATTGATTACTGTGTCCTGTCTTACACCTAGGCCAGGACCAAGGAAAGCAAGTCTGGTGTGAATACCACCAACACCACAGTAACAAACTAAAACAGCCTCAGCAAATTTCATTGTGATTGGAAACATGGATGTTCAGATAGTTTCTCTGAGGACAGAACAGGAGACCCTCAGGGTAAGTGGAAAGGGCAGATGAACCAACTCTTCTGAGCTAGACTTCTGAGCTAGTAGG